CATTCGGGTCGACCGCCACCCGCCAGCGCTCGCCCGCCGTGCCCGCGAACCTCGTCACCAGCAGCACGATGAGACCTTTTTTTCCCGGAAAGGGCCTGAGCCCAGGGTTCTCTTTTAGTAGGTAAACCTGTCCCCCGGTGCCAACTTGAAGGAGGCCGGCGAATTTTTTCCCTGATAAATAACGAGGTCGAAGGAGGCCGGCGAATTAAAATTTGAGGATGTCTCGAGCGAAACGCTTGTTTTTGAAATCCCGATCGATAAATCACAGGGTGCGGGCCACTTTTTCGTGTGTTGAGGATGTCTCGAGCGAAACGCTTGCTCCGCAGAGTTTGCCGAGGATGTCTCGAGCGAAACGCTTGTTTTGCAGAGCCGACCGCGACGCGGAAAAGCGCCCCGCGCGAAGGAATTTCGATGATGTCTCGACTAATTCTTTGTTTTTGTACGATTTCCTGGAATTTTGGCAGGATGTCTCGAGCGAAATGCACGACCCCACCCTAGCACGACCATACCCCAGCACGACCACACCCCAGCACGACCAGACCCCAGCACGACCCCACCCCAGCACGACCCCACCCCAGCACGACCATACCCCAGCACGACCACACCCCAGCACGACCCGACCCCAGCACGACCCTACCCCAGCAAGACCACACCCCAGCACGACCACACCCCAGCACGACCTCACCACAGCACGACCACACCCCAGCACGACCACGCCCCAGCACGCCCCAGCACGACCACGCCCCAGCACGACCACCCCCCAGCACGACCACCCCCCCAGCACGACCACCCCAGCACGACCACACCCCAGCACGACCACCCCCCAGCACGACCACACCCCAGCACGACCACACCCCAGCACACACCCCAGCACGACCACACCCCAGCACGACCACACCCCAGCACGACCACACCCCAGCACGACCCGATCGATAAATCACAGGGTGCGGAGCACCCCAGCACGAACCCACCCCAGCACGACCCCACCCCAGCACGACCCCACCCCAGCACGACCACGCCCCAGCATGACCACACCCCAGCACGACCACACCCCAGCACGACCACTCCCCAGCACGACCCCACCCCAGCACGACCCCACCCTAGCACGACCACACCCCAGCACGACCACACCCCAGCACGACCCCACCCCAGCACGATCACACCCCAGCACGACCCCACCCCAGCAAGACCACACCCCAGCACGACCGCACCCCAGCACGACCTTACCACAGCACGACCACACCCCAGCACGACCACGCCCCAGCACGACCACGCCCCAGCACGACCACGCCCCAGCACGACCACGCCCCAGCACGACCACGCCCCAGCACGACCACCCCCCAGCACGACCACCCCCCCAGCACGACCACCCCCCAGCACGACCACCCCCCAGCACGACCACACCCCAGCACGACCACTCCCCAGCACGACCACACCGCCTTGGTTGAGTGGTTGCCTGTCGTCGTGGAATGTTTCGTGGGGTGTCTCGTGGAATGTTTCGCGGGGTGTCTCGTGAAATGTTTCGTGAGGTGTCTCGTGGAATGTTTCGTGAGGTGTCTCGTGGGCTGTTTCGTGAGGTGTCTCGTGGGATGTTTCGTGAGGTGTTGCCCAGTTGGGTATCATGAAAACGTGTCCATGCTCCACATGTCTATATCCCTTTCCGGGTTCGTGGGTCCATCATGTTCCCGGAAAGGGCCTGAGCCCAGGGTTCTCTTTTAGTTGGTTTCCCCCCGGTTTTGACAGCTGTAGGGCCGGCGAATTTCTTTTGCGATAAATAACGAGGTCGCGTAGGGCCGGCGAATTAAAATTTGAGGATGTTTCGAGCGAAACGCTTGTTTTTCAGAATTTGTTGAGGATGTCTCGAGCGAAACGCTTGTTTTGTGTTATAGATTGTTCTCTCCTGGGGACCTGAATTCTGAGGCTCTCTCAAGTGGATTGCTTATTTTCACGTGCCCAGGTCTTGAGGATGTCTCGAGCGAGACGCTTGGTTTCACGCCTCCAGGTGGCCCAGACAGATGTCTAGCATGAGGATTTGTTGAGGATGTCTCGAACCAGAGGCTTGTTTTCACGTGTCCAGGTCGCCCAGGCGGATGTCTAGCATGAGCATTTGTTGAGGATGTCTCGAGCGAGACGCTTGTTTGCACGTGTCCAGGTTGCCCAGGCGGATGTCTAGCATGAGGATGTGCTGACAACGTCTTGAGCGAAACGCGTGTTTTCACGTGTCCAGGTCGCCCAGGCACAGCACAGCCCTCGGCACGGTACATCAATATCGATACCCGTAGCATTGCAGCCTGGCATGTTGCCTGGCACGTTCCGCGGAGCGTCCCGTGGCGAGTCCCCCTGGCACGTCGCGCGGTGCACGTCCATTGGCACGTTCCGTAGCGCGTCCCTTTGGCACGTCCCGCGGTGCGTGCCCATGGCACGTCCCTTGGCACGTCGCCTGGCGCGTCCCTTGGGACGTTCCGCGGCGCGTCCTCTTGGCATGTTCCCTCTGTCGATTAGTTCTGGGGCAGCTACCATCTGCTCAGGCAGCTCGAGCTTACGACACAGATCAGTTCGGTGAGGACTCGGATGCCAGGGAGGACTCGATCCACAATGCTATATAGAGCACAATCGCGGCATGGCACATCGCAGTTCAGCACGGCCCAGCACAGCACAGCCGTCGGCACGGTACATCAAGATCGATACACTCAACTATGCACTTTGGCACGTTCCTTGGCGCGTTCCGTGGCGAGTCCACCTGGCACGTCGCGCGGCGCGTCCCCTGGCACGTCCCTCGGCACGTCCATTGGCACGTTCCGTAGCGCGTCCCCTTTGCACGTCCCGCGGTGCGTCCCCATGGCACGTCCCCTGCCACGTCGCCTGGCGCGTCCCTTGGGACGTTCCGCGGCGCGTCCTCCTGGCATGTTCCCTCTGTCGATTAGTTCTGGGGCAGCTACCATCTGCTCAGGCAGCTCGAGCTTACGCTCCAGATCAGTTCGGTGAGGACTCGGATGCCAGGGAGGACTCGATCCACAACGCTATATAGAGCACAATCGCGGCATGGCACATCGCAGTTCAGCACGGCGTAGCACAGCACAGCCCTCGGCACAGTACATCATCATCGATACATTCAGCATTGCATGTGCCCGTCGCCCAATCAGGTGTCTTTGAAATGTTGCAATGCCTTACATTTCTATATTCCTTTCCGGGTTCGTGGGTCGATCATGTTGTCTTCGGCCCCCGGGCCACGGGGGACTGCCCCGTTGCTGCGGGGGCGTCGACGTCTGAGGCCGCGCCTCCTACTCCTCGTCGCCGACGGTGCCTGGGGATGGCTCGTCGCCGACGGCGTCGGGGGGCGACTCGTCCCAGTGGCGCGCTTCGAAGTGGGGATTGGCTGCGTAGTCCGCCCAGCTGTCCAGCGCCTCCTCGCGCGCTAGCGAGGACTTCAGCGCCCGCGACGATTTGTGAGGACTTCGTTGCTGATGTGGCCGCCCGTTAGGACGGCTCGCGCTGGCGGGGGAGGAGGCCTGTTCTGTTCCAAGCTCGAGCCCCGATTTGATGGACAGCCTTTCGCAGCTCTGACCGCGCTTTTCGCTGTCTCGCCCCCGTCCGTCCCGTCGCGGCTTATGGGGAATCGAGGCTAAAAACCGATCGTCAAGTTTTTCTTTCTGACGTTCGAGTCTGGGCTGTTCACGTTCCTATCTACGCGCAGCCTAAGCGAGCCTGTTAGCAAACATGTAGTTTTGGGTCCACGCTGGCTAGCATGTCGTTTGTGTTTTGTTGTCCCCTTCGGCGTCAGCTTTGCGCCGATAAACCGCATCGTATCGAAATGTGCATCATATTGGGCTGCGTCGGCAAGGATTTTAATCGTCCGCGCCAGGGTGCACCGCAACGCTTCGCAAACACCAACCCGCATCGCGTCGTCGGGTTATCGGAATCGAATCGGATGGTGCTGGCTGGAATAGATAGACATCGAATCGGATCGATCGCATCGAGCAGGACCTTGGAAAAGGCCCCCCTCCCCGAAGAGGCTGCGCGTTCGAAACCATGCAGCTGTTGCAGCGCCGATGCGGCACGACGCCTGCGCGGCTCTGCTGTGCATGCCGGCGCGGGCGATCCGATCCCGCTTTGAAGCAGCCCGGTCCTACGCGCGTTTTGATGTTTTACGTTGCGTTACTCGCGTCCGCATTCTCCATGCCCCGCGCTGCCCACAGCAACATGCATGCAAGCCCTGCGCGCGCGAGAGTGCTCGCGCGCTCGCCACCACGACTTCGGGGGGCCGTGCCCGCGCCGTGGATTTTAGGCATAGTCCGACTCGATCCGATTTCCCGCTGTTGGCCGATCCTGCCTTCCGAGGCCAGGCAGGCAGCGAGAGAACGGTGAGGCCGACGTTCGGCTCGGTCGGCACTGGGAGGGCTCGGACGGCCCGTCCGCGTCGCGGTCTGCTGCGTCGCGGTTGGTCCGCTTCGGTCGGCCGTGGCGTCGCTGACGCGTCGCTGCGTCCACCCTGGCCCAGGGGGAACGGTAAGGGGGGGGGGCCTGCTCGGGGGAGGGGAAGCATCGACCTTGAATCGGCGATACGTCGCCACTACATCGGCGATTGTCACCACCCACCAAACCACCCCAACCCAACCCGAAGGCCCAATTTTATCCTCGATTTCCAGTGGGGGGGGGGTCGGGGAACATTGAGAAAACACATGGAATCCGTACCCCCCCCCCAACCCGAAATTCGGGTCCAATTCGGGTCTCCGGGTTGGGTTGGGGTGGTCTGGTAGGTAGTCAGATTGGACCCCGATAGCGAGTCCGAGCGGTCCTGGGCGGGGCGGGCCATCGGCCCCTATCGCCGATCCATCGGCATCGACCCAGTTTTTATCGACCCACAAGAGGGTTCCATCGCCGATGCAGTGGCGACGTATCGCCGATTCGAGGTCGATGCCTCCCCTCCCCTGAGCTGGCCCCCCCCCCGTTCACGTTGCCCCGCTTCCGGCGGCTTCGGCCTAGGCCCCCCCCCCCGCGAGGACACGGGCGCCGCGCACGTCCCGGGCCTCTGGTACTACCACATCGGGTGCCCCAGAGACCGCGGTGGCGAGCGCCCGCCCTCCGGCCGGCCCTCGGCGGCCACTGTCGGCCTTCGGGAGCCTCCGGCGGCCGTTTGGCGGCCTCGGGTGGGCTTCGGCGACCCAGGCAGCGGCGCCTACCCCGCCGTCGTCGTGTTCGGCGTCGTGGTCGTTGGGTCATCGGGTACTGATTGTGAAGTATCGCGCATCGGGGGTGTATGCTTGTGCACGCGCTTGCACCTCCTTGGGTTCCCGCGTGGATCCTTTGCTGCTGCGGCTGAATCCGCACCGATTTTTTGGTCGGAACGCCCCAGGAAGTGTCTCATCGTCTTGGGGGTAGGATGGCCCAGACCTCCAGTGTCACGACAAATCGCGACGGCATACGGCATGTGTTTCAGCTGCCTCAGAAGGCCCGCTTCGGGCTTTGGGACCGTCAAACAAGAGACCCTGCGTGGCGAGCATGTCCCAGGGATTGGACCGAGGGATCTGGGGGCCAACGTGACGACTACATCGTAACGTCGGATGTGTTTCAGGGGTGCAGGGCGGATGAGGCGGAGGCGTGAGGAAGGGGCGGGTTTGGATCCTGGAGGTGGAGGGCGGAGGGAGGATGAGGTAGGACGGAGGGAGGTGGAGGGAGAAGGAGGGGATGAAAGGAAGAGGATGCAGGGGAGGTGGACGAGAAGGAGGAGGAGGAGGAGGAGGAGGAGGAGGAGGAGGAGGAGGAGGATAGGATGAGGGTCCGAGGAAGAGGGGACGATGGGGGAGTGAAGGGAGGATCAGGAAAAGGGAGAACGGAAGGGAGCAGGAGGAGCAGGAGGAGCAGGAGGAGGAGGAGGAGGAGGAGGAGGAGGAGGGAGGAGGGAGGAGGAGGACTTGATCGTCAGCCTGTGAAGGCAACACAAGTCCCCGAAATGGGAAGCGGCGGGCACGGGCTGGGCCTGACCAGCGCTTGGCCTCCCGACCCAGAAGGGGCAGAGCCCGTGGAGCACCACCAGCACCGCGAGGAGGAGCAGCAGTAGCAGCAGCAGCAGAAGCAGCAGCAGCTCCTCCCACAGTGGCCGGGCCGCAAAGCCGTCCGCGAGCAAGAGCGCCAGCAGCCGGGGGAAGGTGTGTGAACACCACCACGACGTGTCGCCGGAGGGCCCGCCGCCTCGAGGCGTCGCCCTCGGGGGAGCACCTCTGCTCGGCGGCGCGGGCGACGAATGTACGAGCGCGGTCACGAGCGTGACGGGGAGCTGGCGGTACCCGTCGTGCATCGCGCTTCCGCGCTACGTGCTCATGGTCGCCTGGCGCAGCGGTGAAGCTTCGCCCGACCCATGGGGTCGTTCGGCGCAGCCGACAGGCGAATGTGTAGGGTGGGCGTGTAGGCCCTGCGGCCGTGCCACGTCGGGCCGTAGGAGTCAGGCCGCACCGCTGCGCGGCACGAAGTGCCGTTCCGCTGTGCGAGTCGCGCGGCGGTTCACCACTGCGATTGACGACCCTCCGCCCTGCCCTCGGCTGCCGCGGAAGCCGCCGTGGCCAGCGCCGGTCGCCGCCCTGGCGTGGGCTTCATCGTCGCCGCCGCCGCATCGCCGCGGGTACCGACCCCCACCGCCCTCGGAGGCAGCTCGCCCGCCACGGCGCCGTCGCCGCCGTCCTCCGCCAGCGCCGCGGGCCGTCGCCCCGCTCCCGACCTTGACACCGCCGCCTCTTGGGCTGGCGGCCAGCACCCGGCGGCGCGGCAGCCGCGGGCGCCAGGCAAGTAGCTCTGGGACGCCACCCGCCGCCACATGCTGCCTTCGGGCGGGGCTAGGACCCGGATGCATCGTGAAAGAGCGCTCTGGAACGGCCGCGGCGCCCGATACAACCTTCGTAACCACTGGATCTGATAGGTCCCCGATCCGTCCCGGTACGACCTTGTCCCGTTCCGAGCCTCGTCTTCGCCACAGGCGGCCTCCGGCAACACCTTGCCGCCTCGACCCGCGCAGGGCGGCGGCGCCGCCGCCACACAGGCTGCTCTTGCACGCGGAGTGAGTGGCGAGGCTGAGCACAGGTCGCCGCCGTCGTGACCCCTGGGCCCCGCTCTGCAGCGACCGCGCGCGCGGCCGCGGGTCTGCCCGACGAGCCGCGCGCGGGAGTCACGCGGGCGGCCCCTGCGCCGAGAGGACGGGCGCAGTCGCCGCGCGCGCGCGCCGCCACGTCGCATCCTGGCGCGGCCGAGCGGGCGGCGCGAGCGAGGGACCGTTCGCGAGACGTGAAGCGGCGCAGGGATTGAGCCGAGGTGGGCACTTGAGGAGGAGGGGGAGGAGGAGGAGGAGGAGGAGGAGGAGGAGGAGGAGGAGGAGGAGGAAGAGGAAGAGGGGAGGAGGAGGAGGAGGAGGAGGAGGAGGAGGAGGAGGAGGAGGAGGAGGAGAGACGAGCGCACCACATCACTGGCGCCGACTAATTCCAGGCCCGTTTTCTCTTGGCAGGACCTTCGAGACACCCCGGTGCGCCTTCTGTGGGAGGGAGTGAGGAAGGGAGAGAGGGTGGAAGTGAGTAGTAGTTGTAATGATAGCCGCAGTCGTAGTCGTAGTAGTGGCGGTCGTAGTTGTCGTCTTAGCAGGAGTACGAGGCGGCGAAGGAGGAAGAGGAAGAGGAGGAGGAGGAGGAGGAGGAGGAGGAGGAGTGGAGGAGGAAGAGGAGGGGGAGGACCAACGAGAAATGAAGGAGGAGAGTGGAGGAGAATGTGGACCGATGAGTGGTGGAGGGGGGGGGGAAGGTGAGGAGGAGGAGGAACAGCGGGATGTGCAGGGAACCGGGGATAAGGGAGAGTAGGAGGACTTTCAGAGGCCAGGGTCTACATACAGGCTGCAGGAATACAGAATGTTCGAAGCTACAGCGACAGTGAATTCTGGCATTCTTCCTCCTCTCCCCACTCCTCCCCCTCACCCTTCACCGATCGCAGTCGTTTGCGGACTGGAAGGGGTTGGCCTTGCTTTTTGCACCACCCTCGAAGGAGGGAGGGTGTCTCCGAGTGCCAATCGGGGGGAAAGGGGGCGAGGAGGAGTTGGGAGGAGAAGCGGGATTTGGGAGGCGGGTGGGTGGGGAAGACAGGCACGATGCAGGAGAAGGGAGGGACAAGATGATGAGGATGGGTGCCAGGAAGGAAGAACGGGGAGGAGCAATTGGAGGAGTTCTTTGAATCTTGCTGCCAGTATTGCTGTTGAAACGAGGGGGATCATTGTGCGTATGCTCTGTGCTCTGCAGAGCTACGTGTCTTGGCTTGCGTCTCAACGCCCCCATCCCAGCTGATCATCTGCTCATGCTCCCGAGGTGGAAGACGATTATCTGCATGGAGAGTTCGCGTCTGTGATGGCATGCCATTCGACATAATGATTGTCGCCTTGGAGAAAGAGTGGAGGCGCGCGTCGCACGCGGCCACCGCAGCACCTGCTGCTTTCGTCGCAGCATCTCCCCGTCTCTGCGGCAATATTTTCTGGGAGCAGTACATGCATCCACGTGGCTGCCGCGTTGATGGTCGGCAGTGCATGTTTGGACAGTCCTCAGAACATAAGCTGTTCAAGCAGCACGTTAGTTGCTCGGCGGAGCGTTTGGCTTGACAGCTTCATGGCATGACATGTCCATGCCATGCCATGCAAGACGGGTCAGACTGCCTTATCTTAGCTTGTGCGTGGATATGACATGCCCATGTATGCGCACACATGTCGCGAAACAAGGTTGTTGCACTACGGCATGGCGCTCCTGCTGGTGTCCGTGGGATTCGATCTGCATGGTTGGATTTCTGGTTGTGGCCATAGGGTCATCGCCTTATGTTGGGGCCTCGGGCCGCTGACATAGGGTACTTGCCACTGTGGGTTGGATTGTGTGTGTTAGGGTTTTCCGTCTCAACCACCAGCGATATCGGCATTTCTGGTCGCCGCCATTGGGTCTTCGCTATCGGGTCCTGGCCTGAATAGTGCTCCAGCTTTTGTGTCCGGCTGGCTCCAACGGTGGGCCGTCTCGCCGACCCGCAGCAAAGCCATGGTGGTTGCCCGCGCTGCTTCGGGTGTTGACTGCTGGAGTATCCCTGGCCCAAAATTTTATGCGGCAGGTTATTTAATCGCTTCGCTCATTCCGCCGGCCCATAATGTCGCACCGTGGTCGCCTGTCCGAGTGGTCGTTTGCAGTGTGGAGCTGTGGCGTCGGGAGCCGAACGCGGGGGAGGAGGACCACCCCGACCCGCGTTTCCCAAGTCGCGTCTGGCTGGAGTCTTGGAGGCGTCCTGGGGGCCTCCTGAGGGTTTTTTGGAGGCCTCCAGAGGGCCTTTTGGAGGCCTCTTGAGGCCTCTTGAGGGCCTCTTGGGGGCCTCTTGGGGCCTTCGGGGGCGTCTTGGGGCCTCCCGGGGGCCTCTAAGGGCCGAGTGCTCGAAATTCTGTTTCGTGAACCCCCCCCTCTTGGGGCGTTCTTGAAGCGTTCTTGGGCCCTCTTGGGCCGTCTTGGAGGCCTCTTGGGCCGTGTTGGAGCCGTCTTGGGCCATCTTGGAGCCCTCTGGGGGGCGTCTGGGGCCCTCTTGGGGCGATCTTGGAGGCCTCTTGAGCCGTGTAGGGGCGTCGGGGAACCGAAAAGGTTGAAACGCCCAAATCTGCCCAAAGCCTATGGAAAAGCATTGTTTGTTTGCTTCTTGGGGCCCTCTTGGGAATGCACTTGGAGACCTCCTGGGGATCTTGGAGGCTTCTTGGGTCATCTTGGAGACGTCTTGGGCCGTCTGGAGGCCATCTTGGGCGTCGTGGAGAGATATTCGGGCGTCTCGGACCTCTCTTGGATTGTGTTGGGAGCGTTCTTGGGGCCCTCTTGGGCCGTCCTGGAGGCCTCTGGCCGTCTTGGAGCCGTCTTGGGCCCTCTTGGGGCCCTCTTGGGGGCCTCTTGGGCCGTCTTGGGGCGATCTTGGAGGCCTCTTGAGCCGTTTAGGGGCGTCGGGGAACCGAAAAGGTTGAAACGCCCAAATCTGTCCAAAACCTAAGAAGAAGCATTGATTTTTGCTTCTTGGGGCCCTCTTGGGAGTGCTCCTGGAGGCCTCTTGGGGCATCTTGGAGGCTTGTTGGGTCATCTTGGAGACTTCTTGGGCAGTCTGGAGGCCATCTTGGGCGTCGTGGAGCGATCTTCGGGCGTCTCGGACCTCTCTTGGACCGTGTTGGGGGCGTTCTTGGGGCCCTCTTGGGCCGTCTTGGAGGCCTCTGGGGCCGTCTTGGAGCCGTCTTGGGCCGTCTTTGGGCCCTTTTGAGGGGCTCTTGGGCCCTCTTGGGGCGATTTTGGAGGCCTCTTGAGCCGTTTAGGGGCGTCGGGGAACCGAAAAGGTTGAAACGCCCAAATCTGTCCAAAACCTAAGAAGAAGCATTGATTTTTGCCTCTTGGGGCCCTCTTGGGAGTGCTCCTGGAGGCCTCTTGGGGCATCTTGGAGGCTTGTTGGGTCATCTTGGAGACTTCTTGGGCCGTCTGGAGGCCATCTTGGGCGCCGTGGAGCGATCTTCGGGCGTCTCGGACCTCTCTTGGATTGTGTTGGGGGCCTCTTGGGGCCCTCTCGGGGCGATCCTGGAGGATCTGGGGGAGTGTCCCGGGCGTGTCCCGGGCTCCGCCCGGGGTACTGCTGATCCAGGGACCCCCAGGGGCCGCCCCGCGCGCGCGAACCAGAAATACTGTTTACCAGTTACCGGAGATCTTAGCACGCCTCTGGCCCGTTGGGCCGGCGAATTAGGGTATGTTTTGGTTCCCAGGCGTCACACTGGGCCTTATCTAATGGGCGTTTTTTTTCCCTCTGGCGTAACGCTCGTCACCCGGGCCATCCCTCCCCCCCGGTAACCCTAATGATCGGGCCGTTGGGGAGGGGGGGCCTGGCCCCCCCCCCCGACATGCTGGGAGCCGACCCCCCGCAGGTATGGTGCTGTGCTCACAGGCGTAGCGTGGTCTGAACGGCACGCATTGGTGCTCACAAACTTGTTGTGGCGCTTGCAGTCGTCGTCGTCGTCGTCGTCGTCGTCGTCGTCGACATCGTTGTGCTCGTCGTCGTCGTCGTCGGTCGTCGTCGTCTTCCAACGCAACTGGCGATGGCTCAGCAACCGCAGGCTGGTTCGACCACTTTTCCGCAAGTGCAGAGTGTGGTGGCTCTCTCTCTCCCTTCTGGCCGGTGCTTGGTTGCAGTGCGATACGGACGCGCGCCTTCTCCAAGGTACCCTTATGTCCTTGCCTTTGCGGCCTGTCCTTTGCAGCTTTCATTGCCCAGCTTTTGCCAACAAATCCCAACTTCGGTTTCCAAGGGTCTTGCGACCTTACCACCCGTCCTTCATGCACGTTTTGATTGTAGACCCAGCGCCATGGAGAAGATGCAGACTAGGCGGCCCCGCGCCTTTTTCCGCGGGCGCTGTGGTTTGCGCAGGCGTTGTGGTTTACGCAGGCAGCGTGGTGCATGGCGCTGCGTTTGCACACGGCTGCTGCGGTGTACACAAGCGCTGTGGTGTACGCAAGCGCTCTGGTGCACGCAGGCACTGTGGTGTACACCGACGCTGCGTTGCACGCGACTGCTGTGGTGTACACATGCGCTGTGGTGTACGCAGGCGTTGTGGTGCACGCAGGCACTGTGGTGTACACCGACGCTGCGTTGCACGCGGCTGCTGTGGTGTACACATGCGTTGTGGTGTACGCAGGCGTTGTGGTACACGCGTGTAGAATCCTCAGGTGCTCCGGACTCCATGGGGATTCGTCATCACGTGTATACAAAACGTTTGCTTTTTTATGGGATCCAGAGGCGCCCCAACTTCCAGAGGGATTCCTTTATCAAACAAAGGTTTTTGCTGCGGAGTCCAGAGACGCTCCGCTTTCCATAGCCTATCTTTTTCAAGCTCTATATAAGAGGGGTTTTTGTGGAATCCAGAGGCGCTCCATTTTCCCTAGGAGTTCCTTCATTAATCCTATTATAAACAATGCATGTCTGTTTCATCCCATTATAAACAACAGTTGTTGCAGTATGCACAGACACTGCGGTGTGCATGGGCGACGTGGTGCTGCAGTGCATGCGGCTGTTGTGGTGTACGGAGGCACCGTGATGTGTACACAGGTGGCGCTGTGTTGCACGGAGGCCTTCGGCATTGTCTTGTACACTGTCGGTTTGATGCGCCGGTGGCACGGACGCACCGTGGCGGGCGCATGCCGCGGCAGCCGTTACCGTTACCATCTCGGCCGCCTCCCCCGCCCCAGGGTAGAGGCCGTTACTTGGGAAAAAAACGGCTACCCAGCATAATTCTTCACGCTTCGCATCCCCGCCGGCCAATCCAGAACCAATGCTAGACGCTTCGCGTAACCCCACAGGCCAATCCAGAAACGATGCCCAGACGAGTTGCACCGGTCAGGGATGTAGAGGAATATGCAGTGGAAGAAAGGGCTGGGTAAGACGTCGTGCCCCAAGAGGGAGAGGATGGAGGAGGAATTTGAAGAGCAGGAGGAGGATTGTGGGGTGTCTCTTGGGGCCCTTGGGGGTCTCTTGGAAGCCTCTTGGGGGCATCTTGGGGGCCTCTCGGGGGTCTCTAGGAGCCTCCTGGGCACTGCTTTGGGCTATCTTGGGGCACTCTTGGGAGCTTCGTAGGCCATCTTTGGGCCATCTTGGAGTAGATCGATCAGAGGAGGGGGCGAAGTACATTACTGTCCCCCCAGAAGGCCAACAGGTGGCCAGAACCTTAGTAACTACTACTACAATTAATGAGTTGACTTCCTCGATGAGGCTATCTTGGACGCTACAACGGCCCGCTCCAATTACCAGGGAGAGAGGGTGGGAAGGGGGGTATCAACCACTCCCTGAAGGGGAAGAAGGGAGATGGACGAGGAAGCTACCCAAATCTCTCACTCCCAGAAGGCTGGTGGGATTCCTGGGCGAGTTGCCTTGGGCAGGGAAGTGTAGGAGCATACAGTCACAGGAAAGATAGCCGTCAAACCGAAACTCGGGATCAACCCGAGCACACCCTAGAGACACTCATCAAGGCATTTTCAGAGATTGCGCGCTTTTTCAGGACTCACCCCAGACATCGACAGCCCGAGCAGTCCCCAGCAGTGGCCCATGGGCGGGACCTATGGGCCTCTCGGAGGCATCTTGGGGCGCTCTGTCGGTTTCCTCTTGGGGCTTTCGGGACCCTCTCTGGGCAATCCATGAGGCAATCTGTCAACAACAAGGTTTGGTCCCCAATCAGTATCCCCTTTCCCGTCGGAGCCAGGCACATCGCTTCTTGAGGTGCTCGTGAGGGCCTGGGGGGGGCGTCGCAGTCGCGGCTGGCCCCTCTTGGCCTGTCTGCGGCCCCTACTGTGCGATCTTGGAGCCATCCTGAAGCCTCAAAGGCCCACCGGAATCGTCGGAATCGTAAAAATAGTCCCTCACATTTCGTTGACACAGCAATGCGGTGTTTGACGCGTTCTGGCCTCTCAGGTGCACCGCACCTTTTGGAAGCTCTTTAGCCACCTCGACCCGTCTGATGGCGGTCTTGCGGCCTCTCCGAGGACTGTTCAAGGTCATCTTGAACCGGTTTCGGCAATATTGTGTCATCTTGGAAGCACTCTTGGGCCATCTTGGGTTCATCGGGGGCCCATGCGGACCCTTGACTTCCTCACGGGGGTGCTCGTCTGTCACGCCAGAGAAGTGAGTGGTACCGATACTCAGTATACGCGGTGGCCGCCATCGGAATGCCCGCCGGGGACCAACACAAACTCCACGTGCACCACACGTGCCAGCTGCGCCACGCTCACTTGGTAAGCCATGTGCCCAAGTGCGCCTTGTACGCCAGATATTCTAAGTGCTCCAGGAGCGCCACGTTCGCAATGCGCACCGAGTGCGCAAGGTGTGCCTGTGCACGTGATAGCACACATTGAGAAACTTGCCGGCACCCAGCCATCCCTGTCAAGAACCGATACAGCATAGCGGCTTGGTGACCAGCGCAGTGTATGGTATGTGCTTGTGTGTTGCGTGTGCGTGTGCGTGTGCGTGTGTGCGTATGTGCGTGTGTGCGTGTGTGCGTGTGTGCGTGTGTGTGGCTGTGTGCGAGTGTGCGTGCCTCTGTGTGTGTGTTTGTGTGCGCGAGTTCTTGTGTGTGTGGTGTGTGTGTGTGTGTGTGCGCGTGCGTGCGTGCGTGCGTGCGTGCGTGCGCGTGAGGGTGTGTGTGTGTGTGTGTGTTGTGTTTGTGTGTTTGTGTGTGTGTCTGCGTGTGTGTGTCCGCAACCACTTTGAGATGACAATCAACAGGTCAACAGGGATGGTGTGCCAGTGCGGCACGGAAACTATTCCCGTACAATCTTATGATGCGGTGCACGCGCGGGCTGTTATGCTTGCCGCAATTGCGCCCTGCACTGTGTTTTGGCGTGGATGGCGTACGGGGCGATCATTCGGTCCTGGTCGGCGGCCGCTCGAGTTTGGGGAGGGGGTGCTCACTTTGAAGGGCCCCGGTGAACCTGTTCCCCGAAGGGGGCGGCGCATGGAAGAGCCGACCAGCCAGGCAGGGCCGCTCACGCTCCGATTCGACACGATTCGATTCGCCGGTTGGGGCCGCGATTCTCGTGGGGCCGCGATTCTGCATCGGCCTGAGCCCTCTGGAGCCAGGCGCGGCGATCCGACTTCGGCTCGATTCGGGGCAATCTGTTCTGTCTCGCAGCTTTGACGAGAAAATGAATTTCATGGTAAACCAATTCTGTAGTCGATCCCTTGCCTCGAAAGGGAGGTTGCCGGGACTGCGGGGCTGGCCTTCCTCCGATCGTCGCCCCCAGGCACGTTGCCAAGTTCCAGCTGCGCGCGGAGCTCAGCGGCGGCATCCGGGAGGCCACGCGGTGGGCCATCGATCGGCGCGTCTCCTGAGGCGCGTGCCGCCCTGCCGATGCCCTGCTCCGCAACCTTCCCCCCGCAACCTTTGCCACGCAACCTTCGGGGGCGGGAGGGCGGAGGAGGAGGAGGAGGCAGGGGAAGGAGGGAAGGAGGGGTGACGAGGAGGTGAAGGAGGTGAGAAGGCGGAGGCGGGGGAAGAAGAGATGAAGGAGTGAGGAGGCCGAGGAGTGAGGAGGGGGAGAAGGGAGCAGGTCGACGAGTCGTCCTCCTCGTCCTCGTCCTCGTCCTCCTGCCTCCCGCTCCCACCTCGGCTCATGCTCCTCTCTCTCGCTCCCGCCTTGGCTCACATGGTCATTTTCAAATACTCGTAACTTCTACTCCCCCCCCTCCCGCTCGTGGACTCTGTCATGTCGTCTCCTCCCCCCTTGGACACCCCGGGCGCTGGCTGCCCCGCCGGCCCCACCCCTGCCGCGGGCGCGCGCCCGTGCCGGCCGGAGAGACTTTGCTGGCCAGGGTGCGCCGCCGGGAGAAAACAGTCAAGGAACGACCAGAGAACGTCAGCCGCAGATCTTCGTTAAGGTGATGTTGTTCAGCCCCGCAGTCCTTCCTCGGTTTCGGCTTCTGGGGCCCCTTCTCGGGCTGCGGGGGCCGTCACAGACGGATCCGGGGCGACAACCTACCCCGGGGGGGCCGCGCCTACACCGGGGGGTCGTCTGGGACCGCGCCCAGGGGGTCGCGCCTGGAGGGCGTCAATCCAGCCCTGCCAGATGGGGTTCGAGTGGATCGGGGCGGAGGATCGCGCCGCATCGCCGAATCATCGACGATGCGATCCATTGTTGAGCACGGTTTTCTGCGCGCCGACGGCGCCGATGCATCGCCGACGTCGCCGACACATCGCCGATGCATCGGCGATGATTCGGCGATGCGGCGCGAACCTCCGACCCCATCCTCTCGGACCCCACTGGCGAGGTCTCCCGTGGTCCTCCCCGTCCTCCTCCGCCCCCGCCTCCCCCTCCTCCCAATCCTTCCCCGCCTCAGCAAACGGTGGACGGGGGAGGGCTCGAGCGTCTTCGGGCGAGGGGGCGGGGGGGGGGGGACGCGCCGCGAGGGAGGCACGGCGCCCCCGCTCGCCCTGCTCCCGTCCCCCCACGGGCGGGTGGCCCGGTGGATCGCCCGGCCGCCCGGAGGTCGGCCTCGGGGCCGCCGGGTGCAGCCCCCCCTCGGTGGGGCACTGGCCCCCGAGGTGGGGGGGGGGGGGGCTTTGGGGACTCTCGGGGGGGGGGGGAGGGCGGGGGTGCGTCGCGAAGGAGATGCGGCGCCCTTGCCCCGTTTCTCCTCTCCTCCCCTTCCCCTCATCCCCCGGAGGAGGGAAGAGGTGTGGCTGCTCGTCCCGGGGAGTCTTCGTCGCCACGGCGGGGCTCGCCTGGAATGCCTGGTCAGAACGCACCCCAGGAGAGATTCGGGAGTTGCGGGGTAGGCACCCGTTTGCCCCCCCAGCCTTGCCCCTCCGCTGGGGTGTCTGAGAGAATACTTCCCTGTCCTGGCCATCTTCTTGACGCGATCGCAGATTTGCACCCTCTCCTGCCACTCTCCCTCCCTTCCTACATCCCGTTGTCGTTCTCGTCATCATTGTTGGTTTGGCTTCATCTGCCTTATCCTCCGTCTGCCATCCCCTCTTCTTCCACATCGGTAGCAGAGATGGCTCATGGTTGAACAAGTATTTAGTCAGACGCGGCATGGAGAAAGCAAAGTATGCAGAGCACGAAACACAGTGGCCACCATTGAGCGAGGTGCGCAAGAGTTTGCGAGTACAGTGGTATCGCTGCCCCGTGGATCGAGACGTATTCGCCAAGCTGACGGAACGCAGCGACAAGAAAGGGTTCTTCCAGGCTTTGGGACACCTTGCCATCTGGATGGTCACGGGCACGATCGTATCTACTGGCCGTCGGCCCATCCCTGCAACGCGCCTGGGTTGTATGTCAGAGGCCGGGTGCCTGTGTGAGGCCTCTCGGTCGCCTCATGGAAGCGGCTTTGGGGTGTATTGGGGGCCTCGTGAGGGCCTCTTGTGGCATGGTTTGGGCCTCTTGGGGGTCTCCCGGAGCTTCTGGGAGGCTTCTTGGGGTCCCTGCTGGCGGTCTCGGGGGTCATCTTCGCGCGGAAGGCTCGACATGTCGGTCCGTACTCCCCCTCTGCGGCCCCTCTTGGACCCCTCTTGGGGCCATTTTGGGCCGTCTTCGGGGCCTCGTGGCTCTTGGGCTGCCTGGGAGTTTCTTGGGGCGATCTTGGGGTCTCTTGGGCCGTGCTGGAGTGTCGAAAACCAGATCAGGGTAGAACGCTGACATCCTTGAACCGGCACTCGAGGACAATCAAGGATTTCGGCCTTTCGAGGCCCTCCTCGGGGGGCCTCTTGGAGCCCTCTTGGATCTTCTTGGGAAGGCCATCTTGGGCGTCTTGACATGATCTTTTGGAGACTTGAGGCCATCTTGGACTGTCGGCTTCGTGGGCCCTACTGGCCCGTCTGAGGGCCCTCTTGCCTCTGGAAAGCCGAAGGGCATTGCGCGACAAGCCCTGGGAGCGCCGAGTAGCGCACGAGAGCGCCGGGGAGTGCCCTGGACTCGGGGCTGTGGGGCTCAGGAGACGGGGGTCAATGCAAACGGGGGTCAGCGAGAGCGCCGGATCTTGCAGGATGTTGCGGGGCCAGGGTCGCATTGGCCCGGGCTTGGGTGCAGGATCATGCAGGATCTTGCAGGATCCTTCTCATTGACCCGGGCTTGAGTGCAGGATCTTGCAGGACTATGCAAGGCTTGACTGACCCGGTCTAGATTGACCCGGGTCAGAAGATCCCCGAGGCTGTGGGGCCCCTTTTCAAGAATACTTACAATATTCAACACAGAGAATCCCAAGAGACCTGACCACTCTACTGTGCCTCGAGGCACGGTGGTGGATATGGGTGTTGGCAGCAACATGTGTACGTGGCCATGGTTGTGGCCATGTTTGCGCATGGCACCGTGGGAAGTGCCTTCATTTTTGGCTGCCACGAACTCGGACACGGCACCGTATTCAAGACGAGGTGGTTGAACCGATTTTTCCTTTACATCTTCAGCGTATTGTGGTGGTGGGACCCGATCGACTATGCTATGAGCCACACCTACCACCATCGTTACACGGAGTATGCGAAGGGCGACCGTGAGAATTTGTTTCCTTTGGAGCCGTCTCTCAATCCAACTCTATTGTTGCAACTTTTCTCCGTGGACCTTTTTGGAACTCCTGGGCGAGTCTTCGGGAAAGGTGGTCTGCTTTCAACCGTGAAACTTACATTTAAAGCAGCATGTGGAGGGATCGCATCAGAGCCTTATGCCCCTTCTCATGAATGGTTGCAGACGTTGCATAAGGACCAGCCACATGAGGCCCTGAAGTCGATGTGGTTCAGTCAGTGCATCGTCATATTTCATGTTTCCGTCTTTGCAGCTTCCATCGTATCAGGTCAGTGGATTTTCATTTTGATCGTGAACTTTCATAAGTTCTGTGCTATGTGGCTGACTTACTTCATGGGCCAAACGCAACACATAGGATTGAAATCGGATAGCCCCGACTTCCGCAAGAACACTCGCACCATCACGCTCGATCCCGTCTCTGAGTTTCTGTATTGGCACATGAACTGGCACATCGAGCATCACATGTTTGCAGGCGTGCCCTGCTACAATCTCAGAGCTTTGCATGAAGAAGTCTCATTGGATATGCCTGCACCCCGTACCCTTCTTGGTGCATGGCGCGAAATGCGTGAGACATGGCATCGTCAGCAAGCCGATCCCGAGTACGAGTTCGATACGCCTCTTCCAGAGTTTGCTGGCTCGAGTGCCAAAGCTGTAAACCTAGCATCAGAGGAGCAAAGTGGGTTCATTGGAGACTTGGCCCCAACAGGACTCGCAGATGCGGAGATGTTCGTAGGCGACAAAAGTCTATAGTTGGCGTTGCGTTGCAGAGGCCGCTCCTCTCAGCTCATCGGCCTCGTGATTGAGATAGGCCTCGCGATTGAGCGGCCAATACAGAGGCAGCTCGGTTATTTGAGGCTTCGTGTTTCGCTCACGCCCTACATCGGGAGGGATGAGAAGTATCAGTGGCACGCGCGTCGTCATTCAAGCTGTGCGCGCTCACCACTCGCCACTCCACAGCGCTCTTGCTGTGCAGCCCCCGAGTATACATCTGCAGCGGTGACACGCCGATGGGGGCTGTCCGACCGGCGTGATGGTGATGCTGGCTTTGCTCTCCGAGCACCGCCGCAGCACGCCGTGCGCCCAGCTGGCAGGAGGAGGCCACGCACCGCGGCCGGCCCCCCGCGGTCGTGGCTGGCCACCTCCAGGCACGGAGCGGCCGGCGCCGGGGGCGAGGGCCAGGCCCGCCTTCGTGGATTCGCCCGCTCGGCCCACGTTGCCCAGAGGGGCTGGGCGGGCAGTCGGGGGGGCCAGCCCAGGGTCTCAGCCCAGGCTCGGAGGGCACCAACTATACACCAACACCGATCCTGGCCCAGGATCACCCTGGGCCCATGATCGGCGTATATGCCTTCTTGCCCAAGGCAGGAGGGCGTATACACCGATCCTGGGCCCAGGGTGATCCTGGCCAGGATCGGTGTTGGTGTATAGTTGGTGCCTTCCTACAGGCTCAGCATCGTCTGACCCATCCCCATGCCCACTGCGCCGAGGTATAGCTCCGCCCCAGCAGCCCGCCCCCACGGGTGGAGTGGTGCTCCGCGAAGCCGCGAAGCCCGGACGGCTCAGCATAATTGTATTCCCACCTGGAGGGGCCAGTCGGCCAGAGGGGCCAAGGCCATTCCCAGTGCGGAGAGGGGTCTGTTAAGCGATTGCATAGACCTGCGTCGAAGAATGAGGGTCTGTGCCGTGCCTGCGCGCTCACGAGAATGAGTGCCGCTCTCTGGTCAGAGCGTGGGCAGCCAGCCATCATTGTCTGTTCCACCGTTCGGCCTTCCACCCAACACCGTGCTCACGACGATGACGACGAGACAGGGGATGAGCAGGGGCAGGATGAGAAGGGTAAGGAGGAACAGGAGGAGTCAGAGTTTCGGGGGGGGGCAGGGATGGAGTCCAAGCCTCCTGTGTGCGTCCGAACTTTCCGCTTTGCAATTCGCGGCCCGGGCCAGAGGGATGGGCTTCTGCAGTGGGCGCGTCGTGGTCGATCTTCGCGAATCGCGTCGTGCGACGCACGAGCTGAGGGCTGCCAGGAAACTGGATACGCAAGACGCGGCCAGCCATGGGCGAGAGTTGGATGCGCACGTGGTGCATGCCTTCTCCAGCGCTCGCCCCTTCGACGGCAGGCCCTGGCGGCACTCCGTCACGTGGATCCAGCGCGCGGCCTCCGCGTGTTCACAAATGAGTCTGAGTCCACCCTTGCGTGTGTTTGTGTGTGTGTGTTCCAACATTTTTCCGGATACCGTCGAAATCCATAGTAAGTACGCGTTGCGTCATCAAGGCCACCCTCGCGTCCCTGCTGTCGTCGGCCCACCCTGAGCCAATGTTGACGTCCAGGGAGGTCCTAGGTGGCACATCGGGCTCCCAAGAGTCTTGCATCCTCACCTTGCATCCTTATCCTTACTGCGGACGTTGACTGGAATGCGGCAACAGTCGCGCGCAGCGATGATTTTTCGTTAGCTCGGGCAGCACTTTGGGTGACACTGCCTGTACCCTCGCTTCCTTAGCGGAGTCTTGCATCCTCACCTTGCATCCTTACTGTGGACGTTGACTGCAGCTCACCCGCGGCGACGCGGAGGCGCGAAGTGAGCTCCGATTCGCGCCTCGCGGCCTGGACCAGGGAGTCGCCCCTCTCCGGCCAGGGCGGCGCGCGTGCGCGGAGGGTCGCGCGTTGCGCGGCGCGGCGCCGCGTCGCCTCCTCCTCCTCCTCCTCCTCCTCCTCCTCCTCCTGCATCGGCGTTGTGGCTCGATGTGGAACCCGATGTTCTCTTTGCCGACGGCGCGTTTGCATCGCCGATGCATCGCCAATGCATCTGCGGTCCGTCGGCGATGCATTAGCGGAGCATCGGCGACTCGGCGCGATCTTCCGACCTTATCTACTCGCACCCCAAATGGCAGGCCTCCCTTGATGCGGAGGATGAGAGAGAGTGGAGGTCGAGGACGTTCCCACGGGTGACGCGGTGTCCCAAGTTTGTTCGTTAACACCTTGGCCCCTCCTCACCGTGCCCCCGAATCCCGAATGTCATCCATTTGCCGCCACAGTGATGTTTGCCTAAAGCGTCACTCCCCTAATAGTTTTCAGCCTGCAGCAGAACCTACAATGATCTATGTAGTTGACGCTTCGCGCATTGTCATCTTCCCATTCAGAAAGGATTATTCGTCGAGTTGCCTTGAGCAGGGAAGTGACGATGCGCATTTTGGCACTGAAAGGAGGGACAACTACCAAACTGACATGAGCAGGATGGGCATGATGAGGATGACTACGAAGAGGAGCAGGAGAAGGAAGAGGGAGGAGGAGGAGGAGGAGGACGAGCAGGAGGACGAGGAGGTGGGAGAATGAGGAATATTGAGGAGGAAGAAGGCGCCGATGACGACGACGAGAGAAGTAAGCCAAAAGGGTCTTCGTGGACCTTTTGCCCCAGGAGCAATATTGGAAGTCACTCGGGGCCGCACGGGCGGTGAACGCCAACGTTAGAGGATGAGTGGGTGAAGTAGGAGGAGGAGGAGGAGGAGGAGGAGGAGGAGGAGGAGCACGAGCAGGAGGAAAGAGAGGGTGATCTATGGGTTGTGAAGGAGGAGAAGGGATATGAGGGAGGCGATGCCAGGAGGAGGGGAGGGGAGCGGGAGTAGCAGGAGGGAGTCTTGAGCGTGGGAGTTCTAGGGGCTCCTTGGGGGCTCCTTTGGGGGGATCAGGGTGCCGCTTCCCCCCCCCCTCATCGTGGAGGGAGGGTCGATTGCCGAGGATCGATGGCAGATGCTTTGACAAGCTTCTGGGGCCTCCTTGGCTCTGTCTCTTGGGTCCTCCGGGAGCACCCGCGTCGCCACGGCTGGACCACAACCCTGGAGTCGAAATTTGCTGAATGCGGGCCGAGCAGTCGTCGCGAGACACGTTCCGACGGCCGCCCAGATCGTGATCGTTTTCTTGATCATTGTTTTGCCGATCGGCGCGGGCCCTCGCCCCCCCCGCCCCTCCCCCCCCCTCCATGGAGTAGATCTTGGCTGTTTTTGGTGCCTGGGTCGAGCAGGTGGAGTCTTTCCCCATACGAAAACGCTCACATCTCCAAGGTGTTGAGCAACAGCAGTGCGACTTGTTTTTGTTTCGCCGTTTTCGGCCTCGGGGGACCTTCGCTGGGCGCCGGGGCAGTCAAGAACGGGTCAGGTCGACTTCTGGGACCCCGTGTTTTACAAATCAACAAATCAGATCTTTGCCGGAGGCCTTGAGATTGGCACCAACGTCAAGACGGGGCGTCTCCACTCGGGGAATATGATTTTAGATCTTGGCGTTGTTGGTGATATTCCGACCACCAAAGAAGCCCGAATATTACCAGCACCACCACCGAGATTGGGATTACCTTCCCTCAGTGGAGGAAACCGCCGATGTAGGCGCTGGTGCCAACCTCTTAGCCTCCAACTCTGAGGAGCCGTTCTTGCAGCTTCGCGGTATCTGGAGATCCGGTCTGGAACGCGCACTTCATCGAACATGCAGCCCAGCTGGTCCTGGGAGTGTGGTCGAGGGGCCTTGGGGCTCTGGCCGGCACTAACCAGCAACCGGATCGTGGAGTCGGGAGTCTGGGCCTGCTCAGGAGGGGAGGAGGCAGGGATGGATGAAGAGGGGAAGAATGTTGTGGGAGGCGTGAGGCTTTGGAGGGTTTCGTGATTTGGTGAGGCTGAGGCCCCGCCTGCATGGCGAGCGGGGCCTTTTCCCCGCCCTCCCGAGTTCCTCTTCCCATGCGTGGGGGCATGAGGAACTCATGAAGATAAATGAGGATGAGCGGAGGGGGGGGCGGGCAGGAGGAGCAGGAGGAGGGGGGGGGCAGGCAGGGAGGATGAGGAGAGATGAGGAAGGATGAGGAGGAGAGGAAGGATGAGGAGGAGGGGGAGAGGAGGAGGAGGGAGGAGGAAGGAGAGGAGGAGGAGGAGGAAGAGAGGAGGAGGAGGAGGAGGAGGAGGGAGGAGGAGGAGGAGGAGGAGGAGAAGGAGGAGGAGGAGCTGCAGGACGTGCGTTCTCCCCGTCCGCCGCGCCCTTGTATGTACTTGTCGTAGTTGTCGTCTTCGTCGTCGTCTCTGCCGTCTGTATTTTGCCGTCTCTGCCGTCGTCGTCCGTCCAGCCTTCCTTTTCCTCCTCCTTGCCCTACGTAGATCGCCTAGCTCTGTAGGCCATCTAGGTCCTCCTGAGCAGGTCCTCTAACGGGGCCCGCGATCCTAACACTACGGAGGAACCTAGATGCTCTGCAGGCTTTTCTTCTGGCTTGGCTTGCTCGGGGTCGTTCCCGACCATCTTTGTCCTTTGTCGTTTGTTCTCCTCCTCCTCCTCCTCTTCCCTCATCTTCCCTCCCTCATCCTCTTCCCTTCTCTCCTCCTCCTCGTCCCTCATCTCCTCCTCCTCTTTGCCCTTTGCCCTTTGTCCTTTGTCCTCCTCCTCCTCTTCCCTCCTTCTCTCGACGGCCCCGCCGCTGGCTCGAGATAGCGCGCCTCTTTTCGGGCCTCGAGCGCGACCGCGTTGCGGCTTGCCCCTGCCTGACCCCAGGGCCCCGCGGCCTGGGGGTGCCGCTGCTCGGCGGGGGGCCGTGAGCCGGGGGAAGACGGAGGATGTCTTGTGTTTTCCCCAAGACCTCCAGCTCACCGAAAGAGGTCCACAGTTTCCGTTGATGTCGTTACCGCTCTTGGCCTCTGGGGGTTTCGCTGGGCCCTGCAGCCGCCAGAGCGACTCAGGACGGAAAGCCGGCGCTGGAGAAAGGGTTTGGGTTCTCCAGGGCCCCGCATAACAAACAACAGGCATCGGACCTTTTAGGGAAACAGGAAGGTACGAGATTCGAGGTTCTGGAATCCGAGGTTTGAATATCGAGGTTTGAGGGGGGGGGGTCGAGGACGTAGAGGTTGGAGGATCGAGATCTGCAAACGTATTTGTCAAGTTTTGCCGTTGTTGGGCCTCTCCGTGAGATGTCTGTCTCGCGACTTCGAAGTTCAAGGGCTGCTTCCCAGTCCCCGGCCACCAGAAACCGCCCGCGAGGAACAGGAGGGAGGAGATTAAGGAGGCGGATGAGGAGGACGAGGAGAGGGAGGAGGCGAGAGGAGAGATGAGAGAGCACCTCAGCTTTGAACTGTTTCGATACGTCGGAGGCCTCGGCAGCAGGGGAGGATGGGGAAAAGGAGGGGAGGAGAAGGAGGTGGCGGACGAGGAGGACGAGGAGAGGGAGGAGGCGAGAGCAGAGAGGAGAGAGCACCTCAGCTTTGAACTGTTTCGATACGTCGGAGGCCTCGGCAGCAGGGGAGGATGGGGAAAAGGATTGGAGGAGAAGGAGGAGGCGGACGAGGAGGACGAGGAGAGGGAGGAGTCAAGGGGCGAGAGGAGGGAGCGCCTCGGCGTTGAACTGCTTCAACACGTCGGAGGCCTGGGGAGCAGGGGAGAATGGGGATAAGGAGGGGAGGAGAAGGAGGAGGAGGAGGAGGAGAAGGAGGAGGCGGACGAGGAGGACGAGGGAGGTGAGGAGGCGAGTGGAGGGAGGAGAGGGGCAAGCCAGGTGCGCTCGCCCCACATCTGGCATCCTACCCCTTTTTCCCGTGCCGTCCCATTGCGCTGATGTGTTATGTCTCCGCGGACGGATGAGCAGGAGGAAAGGCGTAGGACGGAGTAGGAGGAGGGCGAGGACGAACAGCATCAGCACCCTTGGAGTGGAAGGAGCGGGAGGAGCGGGAGGACCAGGGGGAGGCGTAGGGGGCGCCAGCGATGAGGAAGGACTCGAATACTGACTCGGATCCAGCAGAGCTGCCCGCGCTGGGCCCGGAGCGCCACTCTGGAGGACGGGGGC